ACATAGCCTGTAGCTCCTACTACTTCACACTAGTTCAGAATTGAGCATGATAAAGGGATTTTTATTTAAGGGGACTCACAGATCATAGTCCTCTGCATGAGCACATAACAGGAACTGAATTGTAAGAAGGTGCACCATTTCCATAGCTGGTACCCCCAAACCAGTCTCATAGTAGTGCTATCAGCATCATGACAACATTTCAACCAGGTGGTGTCATTGTTGTGGGTCCCCATCTTCTGCCTGGAAGCTTCAAAGATTACTGCAGGGAAAATCTACTGTTCATTGTGGAAAATTTAAGCATTATTCATATAGATATATTAAATGAAAGATACAATATAAACAAATGGGCCTGCCTTTATTAGAAATGAATATAGTGGCAATAGGAAGTATCAATATAGTTGTAGTTACCTGCATACAATGACACCTGAAAGTTCTCTAGAGGATGTACAAGATTAATGTCAACCGTTTATTGTGTTAAACTATATGTTTCTTTGATTTCTATGGGAACATAGAGAAAGACAAAGTGGGCTGAATTAAACAAAGTGAAACAGAGGGAGGGTCTCAGTTTCTCATGAACTGCAAGGCCCATAGAGCCTGAGGAGCCATGGACTATAATCTGAAAAATTTAGGATGCAGGCTTCTGTAGGCAAGTAAATAAGGACAACTCCATGGCTCCCTAAACAATTCCCTTCATACTCTTAGATTATTCTAAGATTCATTTTTTTTTATCTTTTGTGGTCCGGTGGCTCATTTTGCTTTCTATCAAACACATGGAAACATTGGGCAAAATTATGCTTCCTCAGGGTTAGGTGAATGCCAGTCCAACTGCTTGTCTATTGTATGAGATTTCTTTACATGCATGAAGTATTGAGGGGATTTTGTGGGTTCTTCTTAAGGAAGGTCAATGTGAAGCCTTATTATGTTTAACCTTAAAGAGAAAAGCCTTGGATGGCTCTGGCCCAGGCTGGGCAGTGGCTATAAGTACAGCTAGAGGGACACAGCCCTCCATGGTGCAAGGTAGGCAGGGAGTGGGCCTATTAGAACCAGCACAGACAGTAGGGATCTGGATCCAAGATTCTCGGTCTGTACATTCAAACTTTGCCAGTCAGTTCACACATGACAAAAACTGTTTCTCCCACAGAGCACAGGAGGCTCACTATCTCTGAGCACTCAGGTCCTCTGGTATCTGACTATGATTTTTCTTCTGCTTGGTTCTCTAAGAACATAGATTGAAGGAGGAGTTTTAAAAGACCAATGCTGGTTACTAAAAGGCCTTTGCAAAGAACAAGGATTCCAGAGGAGGCATCTTCTATATGGTGTCTGCACGGCACTGCTGCCTGAGGCCAATACCACAACTGGCCATTCTAACCTTAAGGAGATTGATGATGGTATGAACCTAAGATTCAGAATATAAGCTAGCTGTCAGTATAAAATGGTCAAAGTCTGCACAAGGTGATAGATTGAACTTGTCAGAGGGTCACTGTACTCTCATTTATTTAGTATCACGAATGACAGAGGACCCTGTGAGTATGTAATCTGGCAATGACTGACTGCCACCTGAAGTGACCTATTCAACCTGAATGCTACCTGTGAGTAATTTTTGTTGCATCATGACTATAAGTGCCTCCATATAGAGGTCTGGAGCTGGAATGTTTGTGACATTCACCCATTACACAGATGCCTTGGATGATCATGTTGCCCTGATCTAGACCAAGCACATGTAGCAAGGACCAAGGTCCAAGAGGTGCAATGGGGTGGAAGGACTTCTGCCTAGAGCGACTTAGGGTGATGGACACAGGGCATATCTCAGACTCAGCTCAGTGCACTCATGATGACACAGTGGGTATACATTATACATTGTACTCCTGATGGATCAGGTGCTTGTGCGTGCTACATAAGAAATCTTCTACTACAATCTGTACCCAAGCTCTGGTTGGGACATCCTTATCTATGGTTACACTGTATATCAAAAAGTTGTTATTTTGTAGCACAAATTCTAATTGGTCTTAATAATAAAAGCTCAGAGTCAGCTAACAGAGGGTGAAAACTGAAGGATCAGAGAAGCAGAATGGCCAGTCACCAGAGTTCTTACTTCTAATGATCACCAAAGGGGTGATTCTGTGTCTACAAAGCCTTAGACTGCCTGGGTTCCTGTGTCCTCCTGCCTTATATTAATATCTCTACCCAGCCACATCACTCCTGTCTCCACCTCCCTAGTGTTGGGATTAAAGGTATGTGATCCCAAGTGTTGGAATCACCTTTGTGTGATCTCTGTTTCTCTTTTATACAAATTTATCTCATGTAGCACAAGGTGGCCTTGAACTCACAGAGATCTGTCTGCCATTGTCTCCCAAGTGCTGGGATTAAAGATGTATGGCACCATTGCCTGGCCTCTATGGATAACTAGTGGCTTATCTCTGCACCCTGATCTTCATGCAAGCTTTATATGTTATAGTATAAAAAAATACCACCACACTATTTTCTTCTCTATACCCAAATTTTTCCTTCCCAATTCTGACATTATATTTGGTTTTATTGTTTGTTCCAGATAGTTTGAATGTTTCAATCATGTTCCCCTCAGAAGTCATTTTCATCTAGGGGCAAACCTCTACATCTCATGCCTCACATCAACTAACCAACACACATAAAACTCTTTACTTATCAATGGGAAATAAGAAACCCCAGTAATCCTCCAAAAGTTTCTTTATCTAAAATGTAACTACCAATCCTGTATCTTCCTTGTCTAGAACATTGTGACATCAATAGGGACAAAGCCTTGGTTTATGGGTAGATATAGAAATTAATTCACAGCTTGTCTCGAGGGGCAAAAACAAATCTCAATCTTCTTATGAGAGTCCACATCTTTTTTGTCCTCTTCTCTTTGAATCTGATTTCTCCTGGGTGACTTTTGATTGGTCTGGAGATGTGAGGGGGTGAGCTCCTTTCAGGTGTGAGGAAATTCCCAGGTAAGGAGACTTTACTTAAGGTCAAGTAGATGCTTCTTTCTGTCACTCATTCCTTCCTTACCCCCATTTGCTAACATGATTTCTATGACCCAGAAAGAACACTCAGAACTTTGAGCCATGTTCATGTTTCTTTACCCCAAATTCTCCCAGATCCTGTCTTGTCTCATCTGGTAATTGGCTTCTGCTCTGAATCCAATGGAGCCAGAAGAGGCAGGTGATGAACAAGGATAGGAGGCCAGTCCTGAGTCAGGATGAAACAAATGTTTTAGTGATGCTCTTCACAGTGTCTGTGGTGGATATCAGAGTGTCACTGGTTCAGAATCTGGAAGGAAGGAAAAGCAAAATACAGGGTAGATGTTCTTGAGCTGTGTGATGCTTCTTAGGATCCAGCTGTGTGGCGCAGTGGACACTAACACATTTGAGGACCACAGCAAACAGAGGGCCACTCACTTGGAGAATGGGGAACTTCCTTGGAAATCTCCCTATGGAGGAGGAGGACTTAACTCTTTACAACAGGATCCTAGTTATCATCAACTGTTATCTTGACACAGCCCAAAATCAAGTGGGTGGAAACCAGAGTCTCACTGGAGTAATTCCTTATTAGTTCAGTCTGTGGACATGTCTGTGAGGGATTGCCTTATTTTGATGTAGGAGCACAAAAGCCATTGTGGGCAGTACAATTCCTATGTAGAAGATCCTTGGTTTTACAAGAAAGCTATCTCAGAGTGAGCAATAGAGGAGGCCAGCGAATGAGCCAGCAAGTATCGTGTTTTCTGCCTTGACTTCCATCAGTGATAAAAAATGACTGAGTCCAAGAAGAAAAATGGACCCTTCTCTCTCTCCTAAGCTGCTTTTACTCATGATGTTTTTATCATAGCAAGAAAAAAAAAACTAGGACTTCGTATAATGAGGAGCAGACAACACATCCATTTGAATCAATGTTCTCTGTACTCAAAATCAGATCTCCTCAGCACCCTATATGCAAAGAGAAGGAAGGATTTAGATCCCAAAGATGAACCAAAAAGTTCATTGCATCCCCTAAGTTAGTGTCTTCTCCTTTGAGTCTCTAGAGAAATGTCCTAGGACTCTTCTCTGAAATTTTCTTAGCATAAAGCTCCTCCAGAGGGTGCCCGTTCTCTGGATACAGAGTGATCCTATTTTAGTACAGGGCTTTGCAGGAAAAATCTGAGGTCCTTTATAGACAAACATTACATAGAATTAGAGTCCTGAAGAACACAGTGAACAGGATGACAGACCCTCCATACACTTGTGCTGAAGGTATCAGGTCACTTCACATTTGAATTGTTGACAATCCTTGCTATCGCCCCACAAGTTTGATTTCAGTTCTCCCATAGATATTCAGGGAGAGAAATCAAGACACATGCTCAACACTTAGAAAATGTTTCTCTGAGCTATAACCTTGCCTAGCAGACTGGATTTCATATCTGTCCCTACTAAAATAAAGCTATCTCCCAAGACCCTATTCTCACCTACTGGATGCTTCTTGTATCTGAAATCACCTTTCTGCAGAGCAAGCCTAAAGCCCCATCCCTCCAGGCATCTCTCTAAGGGAAGACAGGATTCCCACTGGAGAATTACCTAGACAAAGTCCATAGGAGGCTCAGGAAAATTGGAGAGGACATTGACTTACCTAATGTACAGCTCAGCCAACACATAATGCTGAAAGTTGGCTTGAAGTTCTTTATAGAAAGAACAGTCTTTTCAATGACACACAAGTCACATCTTCCCCAACACTGAGGAAATGAAACTCATAAACTTCTCCCAGGACTCTGTTCTAGATCAAGAATTTGATTGGCGAAATTATTAATAAAGGCTTGCTCTTAATCCCTTGTCATCATTCAGCTGGTCCCTTTCCATCCCTCAGAGACATTTCTGTCACCTTCCTTACAGGAGCAAATCCCACCTTCCCAGAGCACTGAGAACAGTGCACATTGGGTACTTAGCAAGGCCTCTCTGTCAAAAAGACCCATAGGATGGATAGAGGTTCCTTCTTTGGTTCACAGACCCAAGACCATGACACAGCAGATGTCAGGCCTGGATGAACTATTGTTCTCTGAGGGCATGGGGATGTTTATCAGCATTGTTGCTAATGTGTTTCTTGGAGGTGAAACATAAACAGAGAACAGTTGAGAGGGATGTGGGGCAGCACTGAGAGTGGTAGGAACAGAGCAATGCCTTAGACTCAGATCTCACCACCTGACACCCACTTGAGTATGCGAATTTCTACTGCCCTAGAGGAAGCTCAGATCAGAGGGAGGAAGAAGAGCAGAGGCTGGAGTTGGGCTGTAACTGAAGCTCTTCTCCTCAGAGGGAGAGAGGCACAGTGAGAAGAGAGATGGAGATGTTCTCTGTGCTTCCCTGTAAGTGGTGTACCCTATGGCAGGGGCTCCTGTTCACAGGTAAGAATACCAGCTCTCTGGGAAATTATCGAATTGTTTTAGTCTATAAAGAAAACGGAATTCTGAGAGAAGAATCAAGATTTCCAGAGTCATGTTCTCTCTCCTTCTGCTCCTCATTGGCCTTCGGAACTCAGTCTGGTGCTCCAGTGTGGGTTTCTGTCTCTATCTCCATCCATCGCAAGATGAAGGTTCTATGGTGATATGCAAGATATTCATCAGTATGGCTATAGGACAGGGTGATTTCAGGTTCCCTCTCCTCATTGCCCAAGGAAGTACCTGGGGACATCTCCCTGGACACCTGCAAACCCCTCTAGAGTCAAGTCTCTTGCCAACCCTAAGATGGCTCCCTTAATTAGGATATATACTTCCCTGCTCCTATATCCACCCTTCCTTTATCCCAACCATTCCATTTCCCAACGCTCTCCCCATCCTCCCCTTCTTACTTTTCTCTCCCCATTTCCCCTTACCCCCATCCCACCCGACCCTCGAGTTCCCAATTTTTGCCTGGCAATCTTGTTTACTTCCAATATCTGGGAGGATGACTATATGTTTTTTTTTTTGAGTTCACCATCTTACTTAGCTTCTCTAGGATCACAAATTATAGGCTCAGTTGACCATGAGGGGTGCACCCACCCACTGAGACAGTGGGGCTGATCTATTGGGAGCTCATCAAGGCCAGCTGGATTGGGACTGAAAAAGCATGGGATAAAACTGGACTCTCTGAACATGGCGGACAATGAGGGCTGGGACAAGGACAATGGCACTGGGTTTTGATCCTACTGCATGAACTGGCTTTGTGTGAGCCTAGCCTGTTTGGATGCTCACCTTCCTAGACCTGGATGGAGGGGGGAGGACCTTGGACTTTCCTCAGGGCAGGGAAACCTGACTGCTCTTCAGACTGAAGAGGGAGGGGGAAAGAAGTGGGCGGAGGGGGAGAGGAGTGGGGGAAGGTGGAGAGGAGTGGGGTAGGGAGAGGGAAATGAGAGGTGGGGAGGAGGTGGGAATTTTTTCAATAAAAAATGAAATTAAAAAAAAATATTTCTGTAGTCATAGGACAAAAATATAGTGAGGGAGAGAAGTTCAGCTACTTGTAGCTGTCTGTAGACAGGAGGTGATAAATGATAAAAGCCTCATCTACTCCCTATTCAAAGTCAAACACATTGGCTGCCATTTCTGAAGCCAGGTGTTCCCTATCATGACAGGGTGACTCTCCAAATAGAATTTAGACAGTGGTGGGTCACTAAGACAAGTTAATCTGTGGAGACATGAGAATTTGAATTCAGTCTTCAGCTCATACATGGTAGATGGAAAAAACAAACTCCTTCTGGACTTTTTCTGCCTTAAAATATTTCAGAGCATGAATGTGCTCATACACACACTGAGAAGTATGCCTTCACAAGTACACACATACAATACATAAAGAAATGTGAAACCATTTAAGTCACACTTGAGTGTATTTTTTCTTGTTGCCTACAAATCTGGAGCTATGTAGGTAAATTTTTTCTCCCGCTCTCCTTTTCTCCCTTACTCAGTTCCTCTCTTCATCCATTCCTTTCTTATTTTCTTCCTGCCTACATTCTGCTTTTCATTCCATCCTTCCTTGCTTGTTTCCTTTCTTCTTTCCATTATCCACTGGTATCTAAGTCTTTTCCTAGAACTGAACCTCCGAAAAGATCAGAGTAATCGCTGACTTCACAAAGCCCTGGTTCTAGTGAATCTGACATCAGCTTATATAGAAAATGATTTAAGGGTTGACTGATACGACAAAGTATACAGAAATAAAATTTAAAAAGTGAGGATTTTCTAGAGGAAGAAGTCAGAGAGGCTTCCTCACACCAATTCGGGGCAATGGTAAATGGAAAGCCAGCCATACACCTGATCAGAGAATTCCTAAGATGAATTTCAATCAGAGGTTCTGAGGTCATGGAGTTCAAGCTGCTCATGTGTCGAGGAGGGTACAGAAACCCCTACTCACACACCTAGGCTGAGTTATGATGTCAGCTGTTCAATATTGATTGTTTTTCTCTTTTCCCTTTTAGCCTACCTTTTAACCAGTTGGTACCTGCCCACCACTGTCCAAGTCATTGTTGATTTAGTGCCACCCCATGTTGTTGAAGGAGAAAATGTTCTTCTTCATGTCCACAATCTGCCAGAAGATCTTGTAGCCTTTGTCTGGCACAAAGGGGTGACAAAGATGAACTTCGGAATTGTACTTTATTCACTGACCACTAATTCAAACATCACGGGGCCTGGACACAGTGGTAGAGAGATAGTGTACAGAAATGGATCTCTGTGCCTCCAAAATGTCACCCAGAAGGACACATGATTCCACATGCTACGATCCTTAAATAGGCATAAAGGAATTGTATCAACAACATCTATATACCTGCATGTATACTGTAAGTGATTCTATGTGAACTATCAGTGCTGGGTGGGTTCATTCCACTGGATACACACAGCATGGTGGCCTGTGCCTACCTCCCCTCTACATTGTGTCCCCATCTTTGTATTTTGGCATTTAGTGTGCGTCTTGCAGTGCAGACTTTCCTTATTTGGTGGTTAGAGACACAGGATACAGCAGAGAGCAACTCCAGTGTCAGCTCCTATTTTCTTGGGTCAAAAGGATACTCATTAGCTTTGATAATTTGACTGGAACTACAAAAGGAACAGAACAATAACAGAAAGAGTGAAAGCGCGAAGATGCAGGATCTGTAGGGGAAGATGTCATGAAGACATCATGACAAAACTATCCTACTGTAAATTTGAGCAGAGGTCTGACAGCAGTGAAATAGCAACATATAAGTGCAGGGACACAAATTAGGATGATAAGATACTTACGTACACAGCTAGATAGAGCAATGAACACAACTGTTCAGAATATAGGGCTTCATCTCACCAAAATGCAATGGATGGATCTCTCTCTATCTCCACTTCTAGCCTTCCTTTGGACCTGTGGACCTCTTTCCACCTCTGCCCAAGTCACTATTGAATCAGTGCCCCCCATAATTTACGAGGGGGGAAGTGTTCTTCTACTCATTCACAATCTCCCAGAGAATATTCGATCCCTTTTCTGGTACAAGGGGATGATTGTGTCCAATGATCTTGAGGTTGCAAGACACATAATAACCATGAATTCAAGTGTGCTGGATTCTGTACACAGTGGCCGAGATACAGTGTACAGCAATGGATCCCCTCTGCCCAACAATGTCACCTGGAAGGATGCTGGATTATATACCCTACGAACTCTAAGTACAGATATGAAAACAGAATTAGCACATGTGCAACTTCAGGTGAACAGTAAGTGATTCTCTGTGATCATTCAGTGCAGGGTGGGGCTTAGACACATAGGATTATGATGCCTGGCCTGTACCTCCCTTCCCTCTGCACTGTGTCTCAATGTTGGTGTTTGAGCACTAAATGCATGACACATGTTAGAGAAAAATGATCATACGTCAGACTGTATCTTCTAACTCTACCCCACACATACATGTCAAGGAAGACCTTGATGGAAAATAATTTAGCTCAGTCTCTTGGGGGAATGTAGAACAGGGAGCCCTGAACTCTGTCATCTTTCCAAGGCTGGACTACTGTGAGAGAGGAATGTTTTGCTAGACTCAAACCTTACTTTCTTGTATACCTGATAGGGAACAATGTTTTTTCCACTGTCCATATCAAACTGGTGTATTTATTAACCCCAAGTTGAAAGTGTCATAAATAAAATCCATCAACTGAGGCAGGGATCATGGAGGTATGCTGCTTACTGGCTTACTTTACATGGCTGGTAAGTCCATTCTTATATATCATCCAGTACATCTAGTCCAGGAGTGAGAATGCCTGCAATAGTCTGAACCCTTCCACAATAATCCCATATATATATATATATATGTATATATATGTATGAATATATATATATATATATATATATATATATGAAGATTGAGTGGGCAGCAGTAGAAAAAGGCCTATCTACGGAGGGGGGAGGACCTAGGACTTACCACAGGGCAGGGAACCCAGACTGCTCTGTGGACTGGAGAGGGAGTGGGAGAGGAGTGGGGGAGGGGGAGAAGGGTGGGAGGAGGGGGAGAAGGGTGGGAGGAGGGGGAGGGAAATGGGAGGCTGGGAGGAGGTGGAAACTTGTTTTTTATGTTTTTTTCTCCTTTTCTCAATAAAAAAATAAAAAAAGAAAAAGGCCTATCTATAGGCTAATCTGGTAGTGCAATTTTCAATTGATACCTTGTATTTCAAGAGGGCTCTACATTGTGTCAAGTTCATGTTAAACTACCCAGCCTAAGTGAGCCCTTTTGAAGACCTGAACCTTGAAGATCAGACTGGTCCTGACTTTCACTCAGTCCCAGTTCTGAAGAGTGCAGGACAGAGCAGAAAATTCTTCTGGGAGGTGAATTTAGGAGTTGAATGGAAACACAAAGAAAACAAACCAAAATTAAAATTAAAAAACAGAAACAATAAAAACAGATAGTAAAACCCTGGAAGTTCAGGGAAAGCATCCTCTCAGACCCCTCCAGTGTGCAGTGCAGTGTGTTCAATTTCTGCCTGAGTACAGTGAGGGAGCAGGCATGCAGATACTTGAGGGGAGATTTCCATTCTGGAAATTTGAGTAAGAAATCAACACCTATACCTTTAACTACGCAAAACCCACATGCTTAAATGACAGTGTGACTATATATTCAACAACATAAAAAGCAAAACATCACCACCTGAACCTAGTGGTTCTACAACAGCAAGACCTGAACATTCCACCATAGATGAAGTAGAAAAAAAACCTAAAATAATAGTATGAAGATAATAGAGGCCCTTAAAGGGGAAATGAAGGTAAAAACAAACAAATATTTGGAAGAAGTCAATAACTCCTTTAAGAAAGCAAGAAAGCCAAGATAAACAGTTGAATGGGTGAAGGAGACAGTTTAAGAATTGAAAATTGTAATAGGGGCAATAAAGAAAACAGAAACCAAGGGATTTCTAAAAATGGAAAATATAGAACAGGAACTACAGATGCAAGCATAAACAACAGAATACAAAAAAATGAAAGAGAGACTCTCCAGCATTGAAGATACAATAGAGAGAATTGATTCATTGGTCAAAAAAATGTAAAATCCAACAAATTCTTAAAACAAAACATCAGTGATATCTAAGAAACTGTGGAAAGATCAAATCTAAGAATATTAAGGATAGAAGAAGGAGAAGAACTCAAACTTAAAGGCACAGAAAATATATTCAACAAAATCATACAGGAAAACTTTTGCCAACCTAAAGATGGAAATGCCTATGAAGGTACAAGAATTTTATGGAACACCAAATAATCTGTCCCCCCAAATCATACATTTGCCACATAATAATCAAAACAGTAAACATACAAATAAAGCAAGAATATTGAGAGTTGCAAAAAAAAAGGCCAGGTAACCTATTTAGTCAGAACCATCAAAATTATACTCAATTTTTCAATGGAGATTCTGAAGTGCTGAATATCCTGGACAGATATTTTGCAGACATTAAGAGATCATGGATGTCAGCCTAGAATACTTTACCCAGTGTTGCTTTTAATCACCAAAGACAGAGAAAACAAGTTATTCCATGGCAAAAATACATTTAACCAATATCTAACCACGAATCTAGCCTAATAGAATGTATTAGAAGGAATTCTCCAATCCAAGGATGTTAGCTACACCCACAAAACACAGGCAATGGAAAATTATACAACAGCACATCCCAATGAAGAGAAACACAATCATATTACCATCACCAACAACAAAACCAAGAATAACAGGGATTATCAATACCTGATCATTAATATCCCTTAATACAATACACTCAAGTCACAAATAAAAAGACACAGGATAACAGGATTGAAATGAAAACAGGATACATCCTTCTCCTGCATACACTGAATACACCTGAACTTCAAAGACAGCTATTACCTCAAAGTAAAGGGTTGGGAAAAAATTTCCATTCAAATGGATCTAAGAAACAAGCTGGTTTAACTATTCTAATATCTACCAAAATAGACTTCAAAATAAAATTAATCAAAAGAGATGAAGAAAGATGTTTCATAGTCATAAAAGAAAAAAATCCATGAAGATGAAATCCAAATTGTGAACATTTATGCACCCAAGACGAGGGATCCACATTTGAAAACGAAACCTTACTAGCCAGGTGGTGGCACATGCTTTTAATCTAAGCACTCTGGATGTTTGTGATTAATCTTCTGCCAGGTTCAGTAAAAACAAGGATCAAAGGCAGATATTAGAAAGACAAACAATGATTGAATGAGGTATTTGTAATGGTCAAAGGTCCCACAGCAAGTAATCCCTGTTATCTTTGCAGCACTGTTACACAAGGCCACTATCAGATGCAACAATTTTAATCTCATTGAAGTTGATGACAGTAGCCTGAAAGCCTATATGTTAGTGTCAGAAAAAAACCTACCTGTCGGGGATAAATGGTCAAAGCCTCTCAGAAGATTATAGGCTGAAACTGTGGGAGGGCAAGTGGGATTTCACATATTCAGTGTGACAACTGACACAGGATCCTGTGAACATTTAATATGGAAATGAGTGACTTACAACCAAAGTGACCCAATCAACCTGAATGTTAACTGTGAATAATTTCTGTTTCCTCATGGCTATAACTACTTACATACAGAAATATACAGCTACACTCATCCACTCTCGGGTATTGATAAAGATTCCCCCTCCTCCAGGTAACTAGGCTGCTCTAGCACAAGCACATGCAGCAAAGTTGAGCATTGAGTTAGAATGGGGGGGTGGTCGTTCTTGTCCTTCCAGAAAAGCTAACGGTGATGAAGTCAAGGAACATCTCAGACTCAGGCTCAATTCACACATGATAGTTCATTGAGAATGTTTGTTATGCTAGTGATTGATTAGGGCTTGTGTACGCTACATGAGTACTCTTCTACTAATCTAAACCCCCAGTTCTGGTTGGGATCTGTCCAACTGAGGTAAAAAAGCCAGATATCAGAGCTGCTATACATGAGGATTTTTCCATTTCTTTGGAGACATCACATGTGGCTTTATTCAGTATGCTCTATCATTCAGGTGATGGGATAATATCCATCTCAGATAACCACATGAATGCAAGGTTAAACCTCAAGCTCTTCCACAAAGTTGCTTCAATACTGTTTGCTTAACAGTGGAGAGCCCCAGATATCCTGACAGGAGTTATTTATCCAAAACTTCATTACTAACATTTGTAAATCCTATATCTCCCTTGACTAGAACTCAGTCATTAGTGTCCATGGGACCCAAGTGAAGAAAATTACAGGTCTTGAGTAGCAGATCACTGAAATGACAGCATTGACCTTTGGGTGAAGCCTTGGTTTGATGGACAGATATAGAAATTAATTCCCAGCCTGTGGGACACAAACAAATACCAAACCACTTTTGAGATTTCAGCTACATTTCTTTCTTCTCTCCTTACATCTCTGCTTTCTCTTGGCTCACCTTGGACTGTATTGGAATGTGAAGTGGTGATGGGGCTTCTCCCAGGATGGAGAAACATCCCACGTAGAGAAACTTTACTTAATGTAAAGTAGACTTTTCTTTCTGTCACTAACTCATGCAATTACCCCTTCCATCTGCTATCATGGTCTCTATGACCCAGAAGACATACTTAGAACTTTGACCCATGCTTATTTTCCTTTACCACAGGTGCTTCCATTTCCTGCCTTGTTTCAGCTGGTATTTGGCTTTTGCTCTGATTCCAATGGAGTCAGAAGAGGCAGGTGATGGGTGTACCTTAGTGGACTGTTATAAGTCAGGATGAAACATGTCTTGATGATGCTGTTTCCTTAACACCACATGATATCTTTTGTGGACATCATTGTGTCCCTGATATTAGTATCAGGAAGTGAGAAAAGTGACACTCAGTGTATGTGCCTTTGGGGTCTATTCTGGCTCAGATTTGACCCGCACATGTGATGACCATGGCAATCTAAGAGGGGTAGTCACTTGAAGAATGGGGAACATCCTCTGGAATCTCCCTATGGACTTAACAGTTTGAAACAGTGTCCTAGTTAGTATTAGCTATCATCTTGAGATTGCCCCAAATCACTTTATGTGAAAAGAGTCTTGAGGCACAGGCCACATTAGTTACAAAACCTGGTGAGTGATCTACCTGCCAGCTAAAATGCAACACTCCCTAGATTCTATTTCAAAGGACCCCTCCCACCAAGTAAACTGTCCCAAATCAACTGCATTGCTCTTGGGCATTGTCCCTGCTTCTGGCTAAATTTTGATGCATAGGCATAGGTCACATCAATCAGAAGAGTTGCAGGCCACAAGAGTAAGAACAGAGTCCCCATGCTGCACCTAATGCAAAGCTAACTTTCTAAAGACTAGTTCCGAACCTCAACAGTGACTCACTTACAGATCAGAGTAAAGAGTTGGAGATTTTGCAATTAAATCTCCTAAGAAGCTAGATGGTGAATCTGTCCTACTATGACAAAATGACTTCAAACTAAAATTAATTAAAAGAGATGGAGATGGACATTTCATATATTCATCAAAAAACAAGCCTAGCAACATGATGATTCAATTCTGAACATCTATGCCACAATACAAGATCATCCACTACTGAATTTTTAAATTAACTTTACAACCAGTCAACTCAGGGAAGTTGTTTTTGAGCATTAGGAATTCCCTGGTCGAATTTTGGGGTTCAGTTATATAGACAATCATATAATCTGCAAACTGTAATACTTTGAGCCAAACTGGACTCTCTGAACGTGACGGACAATTAGCGCTGACTGAGAAGCCAAGGACAATGGCACTGGGTTTTGATTCTACTGCATGTACTGGCTTTGTGGGAGCCTAGTCTGTTTGGATGCTCACCTTCTTAGACCTGGATGTAGGGGGGAGGACCTTGGACTTCCCACAGTGCAGGGAACCCTGACTGCTCATTGGACTGGAGAGGGAGGGGGAGGAGAATGGGGTAGAGGGAAGTAAATGGGAGGCCGGGAGGAGGAGGAAACTTTTAAATAAATAAATAAAATCAATAGTCTTCCTATATATAAATGGTAATGGGTTGAGGGAAAAATCAGTGATGAAACATCCTTCACAGTTTCTACAAACAGTAAAATTGCTCTTAGTGTAATTCTAACCCAATGTGGTGGTTTGAAAGATAATGTCAGACAAAGGGAGTAGCACTATTAGGAGTTTTGGTCTTATTGAAGTAGGTGTGTTACTGTGGGAGTAGGCTTTGGGGTTTCTTTGGCTCAAGATTTGCTTTTGTGACAGACATATTATTTCCTGTTATTTGGCTGATATAGGAATCTCAGTTAATTCTCAAGCCCTTATCTGTCCGCACACTGCCATGCTCTTATCCATAATGTCAATAGTGGAACATCTGAAACTCTAAGTAAGCCAACTCAAATAAATATGTTCCTTTATAAGAGTAATGATTATTATGGTTTCTCTTCACAGCAATATAACCCATAAGACACCAAGCATATGAAAGACCTTTATGACAATAACCTCAAGTCTTTGGAAAAGATATCAGAATATGGAAAGATCCCCCATGCTCATGGATCAGTAGGGTTAACATTGTAAAATCAGCCATCTTTCCAACAATGTAATTACCATCAAAATTCTAATATAATTCTTTACAAAGCTTCAAAAAACAATGTTCAACTCCTTAAGGAAAAACAAAAACTCCCAAGAAAGCTAAAACAATCCTGTATAATAAAGGAACTACATGAGGTAACACCACCCCTAATTTCAAGATCTACTATAGAGCTATAGTAATAAAAATTGTATTGTATTAGTATAAAAACAGACAGGTAGATCAATGGATGGGAGAAGTAGGCAGAGAAACAGGAAGGAGATTTTGGAGAGGAAACTGTTGTCAGGGTGCCAAAATAAACAATAATACAACAGAAAAGAACACAAAATCTCAACCAAGTTAGGTTAGGCTATACATTTCTGTGAATGGTTGTCTTAATAATTGATACAGGAGAGCCTAGGCAGGTGGTCTCTGGTTGTATAAGAAACTAGCTAAGGATGAGGCATAGTCTGAGCCTGCAAATGAGCCAGAAAAGACCTTGTTCTCTGCCTTGACTTCCTTCAGTGACACAATGTGACACAGCCTCAGTAAGGAAATGGACTCTAATCTCTCTTCTAAACTGCTCATTTTTATGGTATTTTCATGACAGGAAATGAAAGAAACATAGAACAGTGTATAGGAAAGACACATTGATTTGAAACAATTTGATTTGTACGCAACACATCCTGGATAATGAAGTGGTAGGTCCATGTATGTCTCTCTTAGGGTCCTCTTTGTTGTCTTGGTTCTTTCTCTGGGATTGTGAATAGTAGGCTGGCTTTCTTTGGTTTATGTCTAAAAGTAAAAAAAGACAAGATATCCTGAATAAAGTTGGAGCATGCAGGCCATGGGAGAGAGTAGAAGCAGAGTGGAGAGGAAGGGAGGGGAGCAGAGAAAAATGTATAGCTCAATAAAATCAATAAAAAATTAAAAAGAGAAATGATAGGATTGGCCAGAAAGTACATGCGCATCCCCATAACTGAGTGTTCTCTCCTTTTTATTACCAGGCAGGATTTCTCTGAGTAACCCCAGCTGTCCTGGAACTTGTTACATAGCCCAGGCTGGGCAGGATATAAGAGATGAACATGCCTCTTCCTGAGTGATGGGATTAAAGACATTTATCACCATTCCTGACTCTGTTCTGTCCTTTCAATCTCAAGAGAAATGTCTGAGGACTTTACTCTGCAATTTCCTAGAAAAGGACTCCTGAGAATGCTCTTCCTCTGGATTCATACTGCTTCCAACTTTAGTTCAGGGCTTTCCAGGACAAATCAAGAATGTTGTCTTAACCAATCCTACAGCAGAAGGAATTAGGAGTACTAAAGTGTACAGTGATCTGGATGACAGTTCCTGCAACCCACCTGTGCTGAATGTATCAGGGAAGTTGACATTTGGATTATAGACCATGTTTTTGGTAGCCCTGGACATGAGATTGCAACTCTCTCAGTGATCTCCAAGGGTAGATAGCAGTGTACACGCTCAATGCTCTGGAAATTGTTTCATTGAGCCATGACCTAGCAGAATGCTTTTTTTCTTTGTCCCTAGTAACACTGAGTTAGCTCACTAGACCCAGCTCTGGCCTACTGGTTACTTCCTTTGTGTGAGAACTTCTTCCTGCGTGGGGACCATGAAGATCTCCTCCTTCGTTGTATCTTTTGTAGGGGAATACAATATTGCCACCAAGGAGTCATCTACGAAACGGCAAATGTGATCAGAAAGGACAAGTGTATACCTAACACATAGCGCTAGAATGTTGTCCTGAAACCCTCCATAAGAAGATGGAATCCACAGTACTTTGAAGGACAAGCAGGTCATCTCTTCCCCAAGGCTGAGCACATGAAATTCCTCATACAATTGTTCCTGGACCTCTGTCCTAGTTAATTAATTTGACTGGTGCCAATGGTGATAAACCATTGATCAACATTCCTAGTCATCACTCAGTGTGTCACTTTTCACATGTCACAAAGATTCTGTCAACTTCTTACAGGGATTAAGTAAACACAAGTTAGATTGGGGGTTCAACTGTATCTCTGTGACACAAAGGCGCAAAGGCATGATAGAGGCTATCTGGTACTGAAAGACCCTAGGCAAAGCACAGCAGATGTCAGGCCTGGGGTGATCACTTTTTCTCTGAGGGCATGGGGATTCTTATCTGAATTTTCCTGTGTGCTGCTTGAAGGAGAAACATAAAGGGGAGTTGAGAAGGATGCAAGACAGCACTGAGAGTAGCAGGGACTCAAACCCTATCTCTCACAATCCATTGGATTCTGTGAAGTACTCCTGTATAAGAAAAAATCTCAGACCAGGGAGGAAGAACAGCAGAGTCTGAGTTCTGTGCTCGACCCGAGGCTTTTCTTCTCAGAGGCAGAACAAGAAGTGAGAAGCTTGATGGAGGAGTTCTCTGTGCTTCTCCAAAGGGCACGTACACCATGGAAGGGGCTTCTTCTCACAGGTAAGGATATCCACTCTCTGAGTTTGTTGGGAGGGGAACTCAGAGGCAGGTCAGAGTCTCATAAAGAGAAAAGGATCTTGAGAGGAGACTCATGTTTCTGATTGCAGTTATGGTGCAGAAGGTCCAGTGAGGGACAGAGGCTCAGCAAAGTGAGGTTCTCAGGAGAGAGGACTTGATGATGGTATGAGAAAAGCCTCAAACACTACATATTAACTGTGAATTACATTGGCTCTAATGTTGTGAAGACAGTTCTTCCACAACTATGTCAGCATGACCCTCCAAATAGAAGTTAAGCTGGGGAGGGCTAGAAAGATGTCTTAGTGTGGAAAGATATGACCATCTGAAACCAATCCTCAGCTCCCACTCAGTAGATGGAGAGAACAGACTCCTGCAGGATCTATTCTGCCCTCCACATAGGTGTTTTGGCATGCACACACACGCGCACACTCTGGTACATGTGCTCCACATAGATTTGTGGCATATATCCACATATGTACACACAGAGACACCAGCTTCACAAATACACATATATTTACATAAGAACATCTAAAGTTATTTATATTACAGTTGAATGTAATGATTGTCATAACCTCCAAACCTAGTAACTATAAAGAGAAATCCATGGAGACACATTCCTCTTTCCCTTCTTCCCTTTTTCCTTTATTTACTTGTGCCTGAGTCTTTTCAGGGAACTGAACCTACCAATAAATTCTAACTACTGCTGGCCTTACAAATCCCAAATCTAAATGGGCGATGGTGTCTAAAGCCTTTAATCCCAGCACTTGGGAGGCAGACAAGGGTGATCTCTGTGAGTTCAAGTATACCTTAGTCTACAGAAGTAAGTTTCAGGACAAGCAAGGTTATACAGAGAAATCCTGTCTCAAAAAGCCAAAAATAAAACCAAAACCAAAACCAAAACAAAATGAACTAAGAAACAAAAAGTTCTGGTTCTAGTTTGCCTGATGCCAGTTTATCCAAAGATGAAGTCATGGCTTTACTAGAATCACAAAGAAAACAGAGTTTAAAATCAGAAAGAGAGGATTCTCCAGATCATGAGTTCAGAAAGGCATTACTCCTCACACCAAAATACTCTATGTGAAGAGATATATGGGACACCAACAGGGGTGACCAGGCAGCCACCTAGGCAGAGAACTCCTAAGAGAATTTACTGATACTCTTAGATACTTTGAGCCAATACTTTGAGTCATGTTGCTCTTGTCTGCAAAGGAAGGTGACCCATAGTCACACACCAAAGCTAAATGGTGATCACACCTGTTTAATTGGTGATTTTTCTCAATTCCCTTCTAGCCTCCATTTTAGGCTTCTGGCACATGTCCACTACTGCCCATGAGACCACTGAGTCACTGCCACGCCAAGTGGTTGAAGGAGACAACGTTCTTTTGCTTGTCCACAATCTGCCAGAGAATCTTATAGCCTTTGCCTGGTTCAAAGGGCTAACAAATATGACGCAAGGAATTGCAGTATATACAGTGCACAACAATTTAAGTGCACCAGGGCCTGTGCACAGTAGTAGAGAGACAGTTTATAGCAATGGATCCCTGCTGATAGAAAATGTCACTCAGAAAGACACAGGAATCTATACCCTACGAACCTATAATAGAAGAGGAAAAATTGCATCAACAACATCTATGTACCTCCACGTGCATGGTAAGTAATTCATTGTGAACTATGTGAGCTAGGTGAGGTTCATTTCACCGGACAAATATAGGAGTGTTACTCTCTATGTGTGTGTGTGTGCACTTGTGTGTACCTACTTTTCCTATGCATTGTATCCCATGTTGTGATTTGAGCATTTACTGCAGGACACGTATGTTATAGAACAATGGCAAATAAATTAGAATCCTCCATTTGATGTCTTCTTGAACAGAGGTGGATGCATGATATATAACTCATCCAAGGATATTAACCTGTATCTAGACTCTAGGGGTTCATACTAGGAATGTTTCCTTGAGAAAGACCTGGAGGGAGTGAATATTGGGCCTGATTGAGAAAAAGATGGGATCCTTATTGAGCTGTGAGTAGAGTCTGCCTTGTCTCCAGGTCTCTGACCCATACTCAACTCCATGTATCCATGAACAACATTTTTTAAGTGTTGGATTTTGACCTCCTGATGGCAGGGAACAGTGATCCTTAGTTATCAGTCTTGTGATGTATGCAATCAGACAGTACACTGTCATGAGAGTCTTGATTAGTCTACATCTATTGGAAATCTTCTTCAGAAGGGGAACATAACTCAACAAGTGTTAACTTACTATCCTGTTGGTCATATGAGATTTCTTTCACATGAAAGTCATTGTCCCCAAGGAGAGGGACCAAGGATACAGGTTCTCCTGATAAGTGCTTCTCCTTTGGGTTCAACTCAAGAAATTCCCTCCTGTAGTCAAATGGCTACAAGATATGTTGATCTGACAGCTTCCATGACATGAGCTGCAGTTCACCAGGGATGTCACTAGGACACACAATGAACTACAGTAACGTATTTGTTCAAACCAGGAATTTCCCTAGCAGCCTTGTTCTATTCCTGTTTTTCAGGCCTGAAAATCATGGTCACAATGTTCTCAGACCTACTTACTGTTTAATATGTCTGCCACACTGCCAGGAGACCCTGTCTGTTTCCCATTATATGTGTTTCCTTTGGAAAATCCATGGTATCCAAAGGAAATCCACTAGACAGAGGTCAAAGACCTCTTAGAAAAACCATGGAGCACAGGGGCAAACCCACTACAAAGCTCAGCAAACAGAGGAAGTGGGAGCATTGTCTTGAAAATCTTGCACAGGATGAAGGAGCTCACAGTCATTTTCCAGAAATCATGTCAATTCCTCCTAAACACCCAAGATGTGAAACTCAGGATACAACCTGGGCCTGTAAACTCTGTCAGAACCCAGTCTGATGGTGATTCCAGTGAGAAGAGTTTTGTTCTTTTCCATACACATCACTCACAAGTCCCTTTGGAGTCTCAAAGGTAGTTTTGTCACCTTCTTGTTGAGAGTAAATTCCATGTTTTCAGAGCAATGTAAACACAGGGCAGACTGGATGCTCAGCGAGGTTAGTTGTACAGATTTTCCCTTTTTGGTGCTGATTAACTTGGGCCAGGTAATACAGAGTGCAGTTCCATGGTCAACAGATATTATCTTTTGTAAATGGATGGTCACTGCCCTTGGTGACCATTTTGTGTTCTATAGGACAGAAACATAAAGAGAGAAAGGCATAAGAACATGAGGTAGGACTGAAACTGGAGGTGCAGATAAGTTTTTTAAACATAGACCCACTTACCGGCCATGGGACTCTGGTAGGTGCTTTGACCTGGGGAGAGGCTCAGCTCATATGAAGGAAGAACAGCAGAGATTGGAAGGTGTTGTGGAGCAGAGGTTCCTCTGGGGCATGACAGATCAACATACTCAGACAATGGAGGCCCCCTCTGTACTCCTCTGCAAAGGCTGTATCATATCTCAGTAACTTCCACTCATAGATGAGGAGACCAGGATTTGACAGTGCATGAAAGGTGAGGACTGAACATCATACTGTCTCTAATCTCCTGAGTGGTATGAGAACACGAGATGAGTCTCAGTGTTTGTAGGGCAGAAGATACAGAGTAGGGGAGAGGCTCAGCAGTGGGACTCTCTCATTGAATGTGAAACAGTAAGGTGGGGGATACATTATTCTTGCATGAAGTTAGTAAGCATGAGCACAATATTTTGAAGACTGGTGCTCTCAACATGATGGCCAAAATAAAAAATCAAGCTGGTGTGGATCATTGACTTTTTACAATGGATATAGGCATTTTTTTGTTGTCTGACAATCTGAGACCAATGAACAGAAATCCTCTGACATTCACTTAAGTACTGTGTCCTGGACCCACCAACACATACTAGACGAGCCCTTACACTACTCACAAACAATTATAATATGTAGACATGTGTGAAAAATCAAAGAAATGGAATGATCCAATATTGTAGTCCTAAATCTGTGAGTTTCGTAAATGAATCAATGGGCATACAGGATTTTGAGACATCATTCATTCATCTCCACACATATAGGAGTTTTTTTCTAGGCATCATTATTTTTTAAAGAATTGAAGACAATTCATGGATCTTATGATGTCCCAGTTTGGACGGACTTGAAATAAAGAAAGTTAGAATGTGAACACAGATGAAATTAGCTGCATCCTCAAGATGAATAGGAAAAGAAAAACAAAAGTCAGAGAGGAAAGACTCAGAGTCTATAGGGGAAGAAGTTGGGCAGACATCACCCCAATTCCAATCAATTGCAAATGTTATCAGGGATCTGATGGCATTGAGCAGGGGCAATGTTGATGGTTGAAGAGAGAATCATACACCAAACATAGCAAGTGTGGGGACACTGAGAACATAAAGACCATGTGCTGACCTCTACCAAGTAAGACATGGAGATGCTCACCCACAAATCTAGGCTGAGCAACAGACACAGTTGAAAAAGATACAGGGCCTTTTCTTAGTTAAGTACTAATGTTATTTAAATGGATCTATTTCTTTCCTTCTAGCTTTCCTTTGGAAGTGTGGGCGCCTTGCTACCTCTTCCCAGCCCACCATTGAATCATTGCCACCATGTGTTGCTGAAGGGAGAAGTGTTCTTCTACTTGTTCACAATCCCCCAGAAAATATTGCAGGCTTTATCTGGTTCAAAGGAAAGACTGTGTCCAAGAACATTGTGGTTTCCCAGTATACACTAGGCAGGAAGTCAACTGTGTGGGGACCTACATATGGTGGCAGAGAGACATTGTACAGTGATGGATCCCTGCTGCTTCATGGTGTCACTCAGAAAGACCACGGATTATACACCCTACAAATTCTGAGGGCAGATATGAGAAGTGAAGAAGCACGGGTGCAACTTCAGGTCGACAGTAAGTGATTCTCTGTGATTGTTCAGTGTTGGGTGGGGTTAGACACATTATACTGTCATGGCCAGTCTAGTCTTCCTTCTCTTAGCACAGTGTCTCCATGTGGAGGTTTGAGCATTTAATGCTGGATACACTGTTAGAGACAAATGGCCATAGATCAGTTTTCATCTTCTGACTCCACCTGCATCAAAGAAGGCCTTGATGAAAAGTAATTCAACCTAAGATGTCAGAGTCAGTACAGTCACCTGGGGCTCTAGACCAGGGAGCCCTGAATCCTGTCATATTTCCAAGGCTATACTAAAATGATCTAGGGGAGCATTTTTCCAGTGCTCTACTCGTACCTCCTCTCAAAACTATGCTTCCTATTGGCTTGGTCTTCATGTTTGTTAAACCTGCTCTCTTGTATCACACAGGACTCCTAGCCCAGGGCTAGGAACTGTCTGAATTGGTCTGAATCCTTTTGTATCAACCCCAATATAAAAAAATATACTATAGTTTGCCCACAGACCAATCAGGTGACAGTATTTTCAACTAAAGACTTGTTTTGAAAAATGACCATAGCTTATGTCAAGTTGACATAAAACCTGCCAGCCTAGTTCCCAAGACCTTTAAAGATCTATGCCTGCCTTGAAGATCAGACTGTTCCCAGCCATCACATGTTGTAGTAAGGAGTGGCGGGCTATGTTCCTGGTACCTGGCCGCCTGCAAGGCTAGCTTTATACCTGAAATAATCCCGTGGAAACTGTATTCTTTTACGCACTGCCTGGCCCATTATTGGCGAGCTCTTTCATATTGATCTAACCCATTTCTAATATTCTGTGTAGCACCTTGAGCTGGCTTACCAGGAAAGATCTTAACCTGCATCTTTCTGGAGTGGGAGAATCTTGGCGACTCAATGACTCAGCTTCTTTCTCCCAGCATTCTGTTCTGTTTTCTCTGCCTGCCTAAGGGTTGGCTTATCAAATGGGCCTAGGCAGTTTTCTTTATTAATTAACCAATGAAAGCAACAGATAAATACAAGACCCACCTCCATCAATCACACAGGCCCATAATGAAGACTTGACCGAATGAATCCATTTGCTCAAAATAGAGGTCAGAATCTATTCACCAAGCACAATAATCCCTACATGATGGCTTTTTTCTCTTTTCACTTCCAGGCTCCATTTCACTATTCTGTAATGCTCTCAATTCTTCCCAACTCATGATTCAGTCAGTGCCTCGGTATGCTGCTGAAGGGGAAGGTGTGCTTCTCCAAGTTCATAATCTTCCAGAAGATTCAAAAGGCTTTTCCTGGTTCAAATCAATATCTAGGACCCAGTTTCACAAAATTGTAGAGTACAGCAGAGTCAATAATTCCATCACCTGGGAACCTGCACACAGAAGACAAGGGATGGTGTATAAAAATGGATCCCTGATGTTCCAGGATGTCACTGAGGAAAATTCAGGAATCTACACACTAGCAGTTTTAAACAAAGATTTCAAAATTGAAAGTGCATATGTGGAATTTTATGTGAAGAGTAAGTGACTTTCTATGGTCTCCAACTTCTGGGTGTGGCTTATCCTACTTCAGAGTCCAAATTGTCAGGATTGGGCTGTTCCTGCTTATTCCCTCACTGCATTGTGCCCTCCACTAGGGTTTGGGCCCTCACCACAGGACACATATTGAGTAGACAAATAGTAATAAATCAGAACCCCTCACCTCTGTTTACCAGCGGAGAGGAGGAACTGTTCTGGGTAAACTTAACATCATGATGTCAGCTACAACCCAGATCCTTGGAGCTCTCACCATGCACATGACCCAAAAAGATTCCATGAGAGTCAGGAGCCCTGGCTGATGAAGTCATGGGGTCCTCACAGAGAGCACCATGAATCCCTGATTCTAAAACTTTGCCTGGGTTGGATACAGTATGACATTGGGGAGGATTTTTTTTGTAACTGTTTGTTTAGATTTTCTATCAGAGACAACTAGGCAGCCTTGAATACAAAACTGCCCTGGCTGGATTCAATGTGATATTGAGTACCATTTTGTAAGTATTTATTTATGTTTGTTAGATTTCCTGTCAGAGCTGACAGGGAACAAGACTTTACTTATCGCCCAAGTCAAGAGACTGATTGTCCCATAGAGTGTAGAATCAATTGCGTACTGCCATGACAGTTGAAGTTACATAGGTCTCCTGTGTATCTCATTCTCCTGAGGTTTAGTGGGCATTTGTATGTTTCATTAGCCTATTGTTCTGATGGGCTTGTGAAATTTCACAGAAAGGTCAAAGCAGCAAGAGAAGAAACAGAAGTCAGTTACTCCAGATTCTTCCTTCTCCTGATGGGTCCAGACTAGGGAATTTTCTTCTGCAGTTAAGTAGAACAGATGGTGATGATGTCAGCAACTCCCCATCCCAAGTTCATTGCTCAGAGCTAAGCTTACCTCATGGAGAAGGCAATGATCCTGCACTGTGTATCATATTACAGGAAAACTGTTCTACAGGAAACGGGCACTAAATTAGAGTAAGACAGTATCTGGGTGGCAGATCTCAAGCACAAGGTATGCCTGTAGTCACAACTCCGAATTCTCTTTCATGAAAATTTCATAAAGTATGAATTTCAGTGGGCCTGGTCAAACTCTTTGAACTTCTGTCATTTGGTACCTTCCTTTTTTTTCACAGAGAATGTAACACAGCCCTTTGTGCAAGTCACTGACAGTACAGTCACAGGACATAGATCTGTGACCTTCACCTGCATTTCACCCGACACTGATGTCTCCATCCAGTGGATTTTCAATAAGAAGAATCTGGAGATCACAGAGAGGATGACTCTGTCCCCATCAAAGTGTGGACTCAGAATAGATCCTGTCTGGAGCACAGATGCTGGACTTTACCAGTGTGAAGTCTCCAACCAAGTCAGTTCAAAGACCAGTCCCCCAGTCTTCTGGTCATGATGAGTATGTGAGCTTTCCTCTCATTCTACAGCAGAGTGGGGGTATTACTTTATCAATGGGGTACAAAATGGAGAAAGTTATGCGGTGAAAATGGTTAAGTACTACTCAGGTACAGTCAGCATGGTGACTCCCACCTATAATCCCGGGATACACGTGTGTACAGGGGAAGGCCAGGATTTATAGTGAGGCAGTCTTAAAAAGAAAATAAAGATATCAATATAGGAAACAAAAATTCAAAGGCCTTAGGAGCTGAGGTTGTAGTTGAAATATATAGTGATACCTCAGAATTCATGGGAACTAGCTACAGGGCCCCTCAAACTTTTGGATGCTCTGAGTCTGCTGGGAAAATGGTGCCTTGTTTGCATTGAGAAAACATCCTCTGATATACTCAAATACACCCCCTATTTACCTAATTCACATTAATCCCAATGCTGCATGCGCACAATTAATCCATCTGTAGTGAGGTAGAATGGCAGGATAAGGATCTGCTCATGAATTTCTTAGGACATGGCTGGTTTCTAAATAGCTTTGACCCACTGTTTGTTTGATGCACAAATGTAAGTGTCTTTGTGTAAGGGCAGATCATGCTGTTTTCATCCTGAAAGAGGCATTCACAATGGGTCCTTGCATATGATTCTTTTTTTCTGTTAAGTATTTCTTTCCTTTTTACCTCTTCTCGTATATTACAGCTATCCACAGTTTTCCCTCACTCACCTCCCTCAACCTTATTTCCCCTTGCACCAGATTCACTCATGTTCGGTTTCCCTTCAAAAAATTAGCAAACCTCTCAGGGCATCTACAGAATATTACACAGAAAGTTATATTAGACTTGCCACAATCCCTCATATTAGATTTGAGAGAAATAACCCAATAAGAAAAAAAGCATCTTAAGGGCAGGCAAAAGAGTCGGTGGTGTCCCCTACTTCTGCTTTTAAGTGTTGTACAAGGATACATATATATGTATATATATATTACCATACTTATATGCAGAGGCTGTAACTCAAACCTGTAGAGGGTCTGTGATTATCACTCCAGTCTCTTGATCCCCTATAATCCCTGCTTAATTGTTTCTGTGTTCCATGTGTGGGGTTCGCCTTGTCCTACCAAGTGTTTGGCGGTCTGTCTCTGCATCTGTTCCCATATGTTGCTTGATGATACCTTTCTGATGAATTTTAGGGTGAAGACTGATCTAGTAGTGTAACAGAATATCATTAGTAATCTTTTCATTTAAATGTTTTTCCAGTCATCTTTGGTTCCTTCCTGAATTTCTGGGCTGTCAAGCCTCTGGTTCCTGGCCATCCAGCCAGTGTCAGGTCTGTGCTTCCTCTCAAGGCCTGGGCCCTAATTTTGGCCTGTTATTGGTTGGCCACTCCCACAAGTTCTGTTCCACCATTACCGCAGTGTATATTTCAGGAAGGACAGGTTGTAGGTTGAATATTTTATGGCTGGATTGTGATCTCACTCCCACTAATAGAAATCTTCTTTGATGGCAGAAGATGACTGGTTCAGGATACCTATCCCTCACTACAAGGAGTTTTTACTAGGGTTGTTCTTGTAGATCCTAGATATTCCATCATAGTAGGCCTCCACATTGCTCCACAAAGTCCCACCATTCCAGTCATTATTATAAATACTCTTTCCTTTCATCCCACCTTCCCCTTCCTGTTTGTCCTCTTCCTATTCCCCCTTTTCTCCCATCCATCTACAAAATCTTTCCTATTCTTCTTCCTATGTTGATACATGTGTCCCACTTGAGTCTTCCTTGTTACTTTGTTTCCCTATGCATTTGACAAAACTGGACTTCGAATGCGTTGTGTGCAATAGTAGTTTACAGTAGTAGAGTTAAGGTGGGTGTGTTTGTTTGCCAGTTCCAGAAACTTCTGTAGAATCTTTAGGATTTTCAATAAATAAGGTTATTTCATCTGCAGGTCTACATTCCAGGCAATCAACTGACCAAATTTATTTATTTGTGTCACCCTTTTGTTCCTCCTAGGATATCTAAGGGAATGCTGAAAATAGTGGCCACTGCAGCATCCTTGTGTTGATCCTGGTCTTAGAGGAAAAGATATCAGTGTCCCCACCGAGTACTGAGTTGGCGTGGTTTTTCATGTGTGCCCCTCATGTACTGGTTTCTATTCTATCCCTGCTTTGTTTTCATCATTAAAAAATTCACTTTTTTCAAATGTCTTTATTAATTCAGACTTATGAGTTATTCATGAAATCTATTTTGTGTTTCTTCATGCTTCGATCTTTGTAGGTTCTGGGATTCTAGGTATTTGTCTGTTTTATCTAAGTCATTCTCCAATTACCCCCATCACTGTCGAGTATTCAGGGAAATTTTAGTAATGTGAATAACTGACCAGCTCTCAAATTTCACTTCTAGTGTTAATGTTACTCTTCTAAAAACAAAGTTAATCCAATTAAAGATTGTCTATGCTGTTAATCACTTTGAAAAATAAACTTTTTTCTTTTATTGAAAATAGATTCTTTACTCATAAAATATATACTGTTTATAGTTTCCCCTTTTTCAACATTTCCCAGTTGTTACCCACATCTGTACCATGGGGATCCACTCCATTTCTTTCTCTTATTAGAGAAGAATAGACCTTTATGAGATAATAAAAAATGATAAAATAATATGTAAAAAATAAAACAAAGGATATGGTATAGATGTTGGACCCTACAACCCAAAGAGAGCATATGAGTCCTAAGAGCAGATACAAGAGACTCACTTGTTCTTAGAGTTGGGAGTCTCAGAAAAATACTCAGATAATAATTATAAAATACATGCAGGGGACCTGCTACCAATTCATGTATTTCCTGTGAAAGGTGATCTCATGCAGAAACTTTTTTCTGAGGACTAGACCTTATAGTACTTGAAGATTCTATGTAAGTGGGTAACAGAGGAAAACCATCAATTGTCTTACCCAGTTATGATTCCTACAAACCACAGCAATGAGAAGCATGACAAGATATCCCCAAATACACAAGAGTATCAGTTATCTCTTGGAAGTAACCAAAAACTGTCTAATTGTTTGTCAGGCTGCTCAAAAGAAGGATAATCATGACTAGTACTAAACTGCAAACAATTGCACATGGATAGTGATTTGATGGATCTTAAAGGATATCTATAAAGGCCAGATTCCTAAATCAGTTTAATTTCTATGTTTATTCTAAATGCACATCCTTATTCCAAGAGACAAGTGTAGCTCTAGCCCTACATTAAAGATGCCTATTTTTGCAAAGACTGAAGCTACCAAAGAAATCCAAAACTAATCCAAATGCAGTGAACAGTAGATGCTTGGTGGTATAAATAGGAATGTCCCCATAGATTCACATATATTTGAATATTTGGCCCATAAGGATCTGCACTACTAAGAGATGGGGCCTTGTTTAGATCAGTGTGGCCTTATTGGAGGAAGTTTGTCCCTGTGAAGATAGACTTTGAAGTCTCATATGGTCAAACTACTCTCACAGTGGCACACAGTCTCATTCTGCTGCCTGAAATTATAGATGTGGAACTCCCAGCACCTTCTCCAGCAGCATGCTTGCTTGTAAGTAACCATGATTTTTTTTTGCCTTGATAGTAATAGATTAAATTTTTGAAATGGTAAGCAATCCCTGATTACCTGTTTTCCTTAATAAGAGTTGCTATGATCTCGGTGTCTTCACAACAACAAAATCCTAACTAAGTTAGATACTGTGGGGTGTCCAGTCCTACCTGATTTATCTATAACACAACCCCTTTCTTTGATGTTCAGGTCACATCTCACAAGAGGACTGGAAATACTGCAGTAGACCTTCTGTTCACTGTAAAATTGTGTCTTCTATACGTTACAAGGATGCAACCCCCAAGAAAATTAAACCATGCATAAATAGGCATGAAAAATGACAGCACCAATTGACATGCCAGAAAATGAAATACAGGAAAAAAATCTCAAGAATCTCTACTCTGACATAAATAAACATCTCCAGGTAATTAATGAGTTCTGGGAGAGGGAAAGTTCAGTGTTCTCCATCGATGAGCCAATGATAAGAACGCTAGTCCCACATGGTCAATCATAAAAATATATACACATGAACAACTCTAAGTGGACTCATGAGATTGTATTTATATATTTATTGATTTAAACATAGCTCTATATATGTAATGATAATAATAATTTAAAAAATCCATGTAGTTGAGAGGGAGTCAAAATCCTATGAGAAGGTAGAGTGGCATAGGGTGGGTTGGAAAGGATGTAATGTAAACACAATGTGAATGTAGGAAATTCTAAAAAGTACTTTTAAAGTTTTAAAAATAAGAGCGAACCTAAGAGAATACTAGATAGAGTGAGAGAATGAAAATAGCTGTCAAGAGAGTGATCGTGGAGGGTAGTTTTCTAAGAACATTCTCCATTTCTGGGCAACATCCTGGAGCAGACTTCTCCGGATTCACAGAATAAAGGGAATCTCTGTTTATAATCTACTAGCAGTGGTGAGATTTTTCTCATCACGTGATGCAGCTCAGTCCAGTGTAAGTGACAAGGAGCATGGAGGATCAAGCTATTGTGAACAATGAGTGGTCAGGTTTCAGCAAAGACAGCTTCTACACTTTGTCCTAGAGTGATCTTCAGGAAATGTGGCCTGAAATTAGGGTAATGGAATCTGGCCTAAAGCTACAGGCCTGTGTGTTCTTACACAGGTTTCCATGCATTAACAGTAGATAAGAGGACAGAAATCATAAAATAGCTGGGATTTGTTTAATAAGAGCTTGGCAGGGGACTCAGTTTGTGTTGAGAGAGGACAGAGAATAAGTTGAACAGCAGGGAGCTTCTTAGAAGCAGGAAATATTAAGAGGCTAGGGAATGTCAGATTGTTCCCGACTCAAAGTTAATCATCATTGGCCATTATATTTCGACAACTGAAGTTTCCAACTATGACATGGTGTCTCTCCAAATAAAAATCCAATCATGGTGGGCCAAAGAGATAGCTTACTGGGTAAAGGCAATTGCTGCTAA